CTGAACCTGGGACCTTCTGCATGCCAAGCAGATGCTCTTCCACTGAGCCACAGCCCCTCCTTACAGCTCTCCAGGGTCTCAGGCTGGGGTCTTTCCCATCACTTCCAGCCTGGTCCTTTTAAATGGAGATGCGGGGGATTGAACCTGGGACCTTCTGAATGCCAAGCAGAGGCTCTGCCAGTGAGCCAAGGCCCCTCTTTACAGCTCTCCAGGGTCTCAGGCAGAGGTCTTTCACATCACCTGGTTCCTGGCCCTTTTAACTGGAAATGAAGGCAAAGCAACAAGGAGGCATGGCTAATGTTCTCCGTACGCAGCCTGAATACTACAATGAGATGCATGGAAGCCCCTGAGGCAGAGGGCCTTTCCCCCACCCCCCCAGTCCACCCCCTGCTGAAATCAGGCCTGGGCCTTCTCATTTGCACCGGGTAGCTCACAGGGCTCTTGCAAGAACGTCAGTAGAAATGGGGGCAGGGCAACACGCTGCCTCCGTGCTAGATGGACACTCTCACCTCTGCACCACCCTGGCTCTCTTGAAGTCTCACCTGCCAAATTAAATACCCTCTCACAGGCACACGAAGCCTGCCATATTCAGTGGTGTCTCTAAATGGGACTATAAAGGTAAAGGTAAAGGTTTCCCTTGCTCGAAAGCCAGTCCAATCTGACTCTACGGGTGCAATGCTCATCTCCGTTTCCAAGCCAAAGAGTCAGCGCTGTCCAAAGACTTCTCCGTGGTCATGTGGCAGGCATGACTAGACGCCAAGGCGCACGGAATGCTGTTACCTTCCCACCAAAGCGGCATCTGTTTATCTACTTGCAATCTCTTGCTTTCGAACTGCTAGGTTGGCAGGAGCTGGGGCCAGAGACAGGAACTCAGGCGGCACTTGGGTCTCGAACTGCCAAACCACAGACCTTCCGGTCTGCAGCTCAGCATCTTAACCTCTGAGCCACCGCAGCCTAGCGTACAACATATTCAATTCCTGTGCAATATATTCAATTATTAGCATGCAAATGGGCCGGAATTTTTGCAAGGAAATCCCAGGCAACAGACTTTGCACGGGGATTTCACAGCAGTTTTGGACAAACTTTAAGGGCTGCCAAGAGAGGCGGAAACTGGCCCAAGAGCCACAATCCGCTGAGAGACTCACCTTCTTAGCCACGTAGCAGACCTGCTCGGCCGGGAGATAGTCAAAGGGGAACACAAACCTCCAGTTGAAGTTCCCTTCGCCCCCCATCGACCTGTAGTGGACGTCTGTCTTCTGCTTGTTCTCCTCGTAGCCAGCCAGCCACCTGCCAAAGGAAGAAACGAAAGAGGACCATGAAACCTCAGCCGCAGAAGAGACAAGGAGGGAGACCGCCTTCAGAACTCAGTGTGTGCCAACTCTTGCCCTCCGCAATTTAGAGGATTTGCGCTGTGGAAAGGACCCAAAAAGAACGTAACAAGAGCCCTGCTGGATCAGACCAATAGTCCATCTAGTCCAGCATTGGCGGGTGCCCATCGGCTGGCCTCCATGTGGCACTAATAAGATAAGAACATAAGAGAACATAAGAGACGCCAATGTTGGATCAGGCCAAAGGCCCATCCAGTCCAACACTCTGTATCACACAGTGGCCAGAAATACCAGGTGCCATCAGGAGGTCCACCAGAGGGCCAGGACATTAGAAGCCCCCCCCCTCTTGACCCCCCCCCCAAGCACCAAGAAGACAGAGCATCACTTGCCCCAGAGTCCCTATCTATACCTTGTGGCTAAGAGCCACTGATGGACCTGGTGTCTCTGGCTCAGCCGCAGTCCAATTGTTTCCAGCTATTAGGATTGCTGAACATGTCATTGTTGCAATGCCTGCCTTTTAACTGTTTTTACCTGTTTTTGCTGTTTGGTATTTATTTCTCTAACTGCTTATTGACTGCAATTTATTGCTGTGGCACACACACACAGAGAAGCCAATGCTGGATCAGGCCAAAGGCCCATCCAGTCCAACACTCTGTGTCACACAGTGGCCAGAAATACCAGGTGCCATCAGGAGGTCCAGCAGTGGGGCCAGGACACTAGAAGCCCTCCCACTGTCCCCCCACCCCAAGCACCAAGAATACAGAGCATCCCTTGCCCCAGACCGAGAGTTTCTATAAGAACATAAGAGAAGCCAATGTTTGATCAGGCCAAAGGCCCATCCACTCCAACACTCTGTGTCACACAGTGGCCAGAAATACCAGGGGCCACCAGCAGGTCCAGCAGTGGGGCCAGGACACTAGAAGCCCTCCCACTGTCCCCCCCCCCAAGCACCAAGAAGACAGAGCATCCCTTGCCCCAGCAGTGGGGCCAGGACACCAGAAGCCCTCCCACTGTGGCTCCCCTCCAAGCACCAAGAATACAGAGCATCCCTTGCCCCAGACCGAGAGTTCCTATAAGAACATAATTTATTTATTTTATTTATTTATTTATTTAACTTTAGACTATATATCCAGCTCGAACCCTCTTTCTCAGGGGGTCTCTGAGCGGCTTACAAGTGGTGCTAGTCACACAATTTCTCCCTAACTAGGGCCACATAAGAGAAGCCAATGTTGGATCAGGCCAAAGGCCCATCCAGTCCAACACTCTGTGTCACACAGTGGCCAGAAATACCAGGTGCCATCAGGAGGTCCACCAGTTGGGCCAGGACATTAGAGGCCCTCCCACTGTTGATTCACCCAAGAGCCCCTAGCTATACCTTGTGGCTAATAGCCACTGATGGACCTCTGCTCCATATGCTTATCTAATTCCCTTTTGAAGCCGTCCATGCTTGTAGCCGCCACCACTTCCTGTGGCAGTGAATTCCATGTGTTAATCACTCTTTGGGTGAAGAAGTACTTCCTTTTATCCGTTCTAACCCAACGGCTCAGCAGTTTCATGGAGTGCCCACGAGTTCTTGTATTGTGAGAAAGGGAGAAAAGTACCTCTTTCTCTACCTGCTCTTTCCCATGCATAATCTTATAAACCTCGATCATGTCACCCCTCAGCCGTCGTTCCTCCAAGCTAAAGAGCCCCAACCAAGCACTTTAACCTTTCCTCATAGGGAAAGTGTTCCAACCCTTTGATCATTCCAGTTGCCCTTTTCTGCACATTTTCCAAAGCTATAATAGCCTTTCTGAGGTGGGGTGACCAGAGCTGCACACACCTACCCTTTCACATAGATGTCGCTCATCTTCTCGCCCGTGATGCTGAGGTCGTCTAAGAGGACGTCTTTGGCATTCCAGATGATGCAGCGCAAGTAGAACCTGAAAGCCAAGGGCCAAGCATGGGGTCAGCGTGTGGGCCAGAAGGGAAGGAAGGAAGGAACAACCGGGACAGGAGCAGCCAAAGGCGGGTTGCGACATCCCAACCTCCAGGGGTCATTTCCTGCAGAAGTGCACAGGAGCGGAGCTCCGGCAGTAAAGAGCCCAAGGGGGCGGGCACATGCAACAAGCCCCACCCCCTGCTTCCAGCAGCCCCGGGGCACGAGGAGCACGAGGATCTGCGCGTCTCCCCCCAATAGCTAGTAATCCAAAACAGTCCAGTGGAGCCTGAGTGGTGGGTGTTGCCTTCTGACACACTTCCGGTGAGGTCAGGGGGTGTGGCATATGTAAATGAGTCATGCTAATGAGTTATGCTAATGAGCTCCTGCACCTCTTTTTCTACGAAATGACCCCTGCCGACCTCTCCAGGGTTCCAGTTCTTTAAGGTCTCCGTTACAAGCAGAGAAGCCCAGCACAGTTGCCGGCTCTCTCTCTCCCCCGCCTCAGCACCGGAAGCAAGAGGAGGGCTCACCACTTAGACCGCTCCCGCAGCCCCCAAAACCCGGAAAGCTCAGCTGCACCCTCCCACTTGTGCCGGGCTGGCCACGGCCTTTCTCCGGGACCTTCTGTCTCCCAGATCTGCTGACCTGAGGCCTTCCTATCACCTGCTCTACCCTCAGCACGGCCAGGCCTGCCCTGAGCTCCTGGCATCCCCTGAGCCCTGATGGATAATTCTAACAATGATTTATAATTACTCAGCTATTCCCTTAAATCATGTCTGACTTAACATCACAGAAGGCTCCAGATATTTCTCAAATATATAACCGCATTCAATACATGAAATACAAGGGATACGATAGATAGGCTGGAGATTGAAAGCCCTATCTAACATTAAATACTTGACACCAGTGTTCCCTCTAAGCTGAGTGAGTGTGAGCTAGCTCACAGTGTTTTAGCCTCCAGCTCACAGATTTTTGTCTTCGCTCAGGAAGGGTGGCTCCAGAGCTCACAACTGTAATGCCGGTAGCTCACAAAGTAGACTTTTTGCTCACAAGATTCCGCAGCTTAGAGGGAGCAGTGCTTGACACTCCCAAAAGAAAGACTTCACAAATTCCAATTTCACAGTTTCAATGGACTGAGAAACATGATCTTCAAACATCCATAAAGCAAGTAAAAAGGTAAAGGTAAAGGTTCCCTTGCTCGAAAGCCAGTCGAATCCGACTCTAGGATTGCAGTGCTCATCTCCGTTTCAAAGCCGAAGAGCCAGCGCTGTCCGAAGATGTTTCTGTGGTCATGTGGCCAGCATGACTAAACACCAAGGCGCACGGAATGCTGTTCCCTTCCCACCGAAGTGGTCCCTATTTATCTACTTGCAATTTCTTGCTTTCGAACTGCTAGGTTGGCAGGAGCTGGAACTAGAGACGGGAGCTCACTCCGTCCTGCGGCAACCCTGCTGAACTGCTGAACTACCGACCTTCCACAGCCTGCAGTTCAGTGTCTTAACCACTTGAGCTACCGCAGCTCTTTATAAAGCAAGTACTCATTGAATAATCTGGAGGCTGAGTTGACTGCAGCCTATTTCTTAGTATCTGTCTCAAGTCCTAACGACTGGATCGACTTGCTGATTGCAACGTACTATATGTTGTCTATCTTAAATCTTAAGAAGTGGATGTACTTGCTTTATGGACATTTGAAGATCGTGTTTCTCAGTCCATCGAAATTGTGAAACTGGAATCTGTGAAGTCTTTCTTTTGGGAGTGTCAAGCAGTAAACGTTAGATATTGCTTTAAATCTCCAGCCTATTTATTGCATTTCTTGTAATTCATGTACTGAATACTGTTGTATATTTGAGAAATATTTGGAGCCTTATCTGATGGATAATTCAGCAGATGAGCTGAGCTGGGAACCGCGATCGCTTAAAGGCATTTCCATGTGCAGAGAGAGAGTGCACCTCTGGATAACGGATCCTGCCCACTCACTTCCCAAAGGACTCCCTCCCGCCACTACCTGACAATAACAGGTTGCCAGATGTGTGAGACCTTTGGGCCTCATCCTGCAGGACAAACACTGACGCTTGAAGGGGGGGGGAGGAGTGTTTTCGTTTAATTGCTGCCGGTTTTTTAACTTGGTGCCACCAGTTTATTTTCTTTCTAAGTCACCCCAGGTGCCTTTTTTGAAGTCGAAGGGGGCGGGACAGAACGCTTTCACACAGACAAACGCAATCCCTCACCTCTTTGCTTTCCGCGGGGTCACGTTGAACGGTGGGCCAGGCGCCCCGAGGGATTTGGGGAAAAGATCCACCCACATCTGGAGCTTTCCCTGTAAGGGGGGGGGAAATGGCATGAGGAGTATCTGGGATGCCAAAGCAGCCTTCTTCCGATGGCATCTGAAGAAATCCCCAATTCTGGTTCCGAAGCCTGGCCAGGATGAGGCCTTTCTCCCATCATCCCCACTGAGGAATTCTGGAGACAAGGAGCCCTGGGGTGGAGGGGCAACATCCCCAACAGCAGAGACCCTCCCTGGGGACCAGAGGCCTGGGAGGAAGGGGGGAACCAAGGACAGGAGGGGGTGTTATTACTCCATCCTTGAATGCTGGACCAGATGGACCCTCCCTGGTCTGATCCAGCAGGGCTCTTCTTCTGTTCTTATTAGGGGAAGGCCTCGGCCTCCCTGCCCTCCAGAAGAACTGGCTGGCCCCTGTGTGAGACAGGATGCTGGACTAGAGGGACCCTCACTGGTCTGATCCAGCAGGGCTCCTCTGATGTTCTTAGGAAGGCCTCGGCCTCTATGCCCTGTTGTTGGCCCTCCAGAGGAGCTGGTTGTGTGAGACAGGTTGCTGGACTAGATGGACCCTCACTGGTCTGATCCAGCAGGGCTCTTCTGAGGTTCTTATCAGGGGAAGACCTCGGCCTCCCTGCCCTGTTGCTGGCCCTCCAGAGGAACCAGTCAGCCACTATGTGAGACAGGATGCCGGACTAGATGGACCCTCAGTGGTGTGATCCAGCAGGGCTCTTCAGAAGATTTGATCAGGGGAAGGCCTCGGCCTCTCTGCCCTGTTGTTGGCCCTCCAGAGGAACCGGTTGGCCCCTGTGTGAGACCGGATGCTGGACTAGATGGACCCTCCCTGGTCTGATCCAGCAGGGATGTTCTCATGATTCTGGGCCTCCCAAGAGCCAAAGATGACATGAGATCAGGACATCTGTGGCCGTCTCCCTCTCGGGCCATTCCAAGTATGAACAACAGCTGCAGGAGGCCATTCCTCACCCCCACGCCAGCCCCACCAACTCCCTCTTTCCTTCACACATGGCCATATTTTCTTCCTCTAAAGGGTTTGTCAAACAGGTACTGGCTTGTGCAGTTTCTCCACTGGTTGCTGCGGTGGCCAATACAGCTCAGCAGCAACAGGGCTTCCACAGGGCAGGTTTCCCTGCAGTTCTCTTGCCCGGACCCCTCAGCAGTGGCCCTTCCCCCCAGGCCACCAGGGCCTTTTCAGTTTCTTTTTTTAAAAACCAGCAAGTGAATATCCATGTACCATTATGGGCCAGTGTTTGGTGGCTGAAGCTTCTTTTCCCCTGCTTGCAGACCCCCACTTCCCTTGGGAGCAAAATTGGTACTTTTTTGCTTGCTTGCTTGCTGAAGTCTTACAGACTGGCGTTCCTGAGGCTGAACTCCTCAAGAGAGTGGCTTTGACAGGAGGGGGGTGGGCGCACGCTCCTGCAGGGCCCGCCGCTGACCGCACCCTTACCTGCTCGATGTCCGGCTGCAGGGGGCTGTACAGCCGCCTCGTCTCGACGTGCTCCGGCACCAGGCCTTGCTTCTGCAGGGCATACAAAGCAAGCCTCTCCTCCACGGGCCCCAGGTGCGGATTCAGCGGTTTTCCATCCTCTGAAGCAAAGAGAAGAGCCATTATTGCGCAAAGCTCTGCCCCAGGTCCGCATCGCTATCCTGGAGGAGCAGATGACACGCAGTCGGGAGCTGTTGCAGGATGGGGGGGGGGAGCCCCGCGAGGCAGCTGGGTCCTCAGTCAGTTTCCCTTCTTACTTCTCAGCTAGGGTCGCTAGGTGGAGGCTTAGTGGTAGAGAAGAAGGAGAAGGAGAAGGAGAAGGAGAAGGAGAAGGAGAAGAAGGAGAAGAAGGAGAAGAAGGAGAAGAAGGAGAAGAAGGAGAAGGAGAAGGAGAAGGAGAAGGAGAAGGAGAAGGAGAAGGAGAAGGAGAAGGAGAAGGAGAAGAAGAAGAAGAAGAAGAAGAAGAAGAAGAAGAAGAAGAAGAAGAAGAAGAAGAAGAAGAAGAAGAAGAAGAAGAAGAAGATGTGCAAAAAAAACCCCAAATAGATCAGTTATGCTTCAAGAAGGGCTCAAGTCACTGTGTATGTTAACAGTTGAAGCAGACATTCTGAGCGGTATTAATTTCGAGGATGTTATCAGTGATTTTGCGAAAAGGAAATGTAGAAAAATGCCTTTCAGGTCATCAATATTGGAACTTTGATACACTTAACTTGTGAAATATTAAAATAGATGTTGTATTGCATTTTTGTAGAACTTTATGTCGCCCAAGGTTGGCTTCGTTTGTACAGTATATTGTGGTATCATATGAATAATTTTTTGTATTGCTGCAACCTGCATTGTATTTCTGGTCAGACAGGTCAACAACTAAGATGGACTGGGGGTCAGTGTGGAAAGGAGGGGGGGCACCAAGATGGGTCAGTGTTTTGGGCACCAGCGGGCCTTAATCCGCCCTGGACCCCGCCCTTCACTACCCAAAGGAGAGCGACTTACAAACTCCTTTCCCTTCCCCTCCTCATAACAGACACCCTGTGAGGTGGGTGGGGCTGAGAGAGCTCTGACACAAACTGCTCCTTTTCAACGACAGCTTTGCCAGAACTCTGGCTTGCCCAAGGTCATCCAGCAGCTGCAAGTGGAGGAGTGGGGGAATCAAACCTGGTACTCCCATATTAGAGTCCGCACACTTTGCGAAAGACCTGGAGGTTTTGGGGGTGGAGCCTGGGGAGGACAGGGACCTCAGCAGGGTATAACGCCACAGAGTCCGCCCTCCAACGCAGCCATTTTCTCCAGGGGAACTGATCTCTGCAGAATGGAGGTCCGTTGCAATTCCAGAAAATCTTCAGAAGCCACCGGGAGTCTGACGGCTCTGCCCCCCACGTGTCGGAAGGGGCAGGGAAAACATGAACCAAAAAAGAAACAGGGACTAGGAAAATACCCGTAGGCAGGGCTACTTTTGGGCAGGAACGCACAGGAACAGAGTTCCGGCTGGCTCCAGAGTTGGCCACGCCCAGCAGGAACTCATTAGCATAATAGGCCACCCCCAACAGCAGGAACTCATTAGGATTGGCTACAATTAGGGGTGTGTGGCCTAACATGCAAAGGAGTTCCTGCTACAAAAAAAGGCCCTGGGTTTTAACAAACAAGGTCAACAGAATAAGAAGGGAAAGGTGGGTATGGCTGGATAACCACACTTCTGGTAACATGGGTGTGGGGCCTAATGTGCTAATGAGCGGTGCTGTCAGGGGTGTGGCCTATTATGCTAATGAGTTCCTGCTGGGCTTTTTCTACAAAAAGAGCCCTGCCCGTAGGGAAGGGAAAGGTAACATCAGCCACGATTCCGGAAGATCCCTGCACAGATCTCTACCACGCCGGAGTGTTGCCGGCAGTGTTTCCGCTAGGCTGAGTTAGTGTGAGCTAGCTCACACGTTTTTACCCTCCGGCTCACACATTTTTGTCTTAGTTCAGGAAGGAGGGCTCCAGAGCGAACTCACTGATGCAGCAGCCAAATCGCTCGCTCACAGCGTTAATGTCAGATCGAGGTGGGGTAGCCGTGTTGGTCTGAAGCAACAGAACAAAGTTAAGAGTCCAATGTACCTTTAAGACCAGACCAACAAAGTTTTATTCAAGGTGTGAGCTTTCGTGTGCATGCCCCCCAGCTCCCAGCAGGAGCGCGAAGCAGCACGTGGAGCATTCCTTGATGGCTACCATGCGAGCGCGAAGAACTTGCCGAGAATGGAGGGAGCGGAAGAAGCAGGTGCGCACTCCCTCATTTCTCCCCCTCCCCCAGGATTTCCTTCTAAGGTAGAAAGTGGCCTATCAGCTCTATAAGCGCTGGAGATTTTGGGGGTGGAGCCTGAGCGGTGGGTGTTGCCTTCTGACACGCTTCCGGTGATGTCAGGGGGTGTAGTCTATGCAAATGAGTTATGCTAATGAGTTATGCGAATGAGCTCCTGCACCTCTTTTTCTACGAAATGACCCCTGGAAATACTGCTTTACCCAGAGAGTGCTTAAAATGTGGGATCTGCTGCCAGAGGACGTGGTGATGCCCACGGGAACAGACAGCTTTCAAAGGGGATTAGATAGATTCATGGAGAATGTCCTGTTGTTGGGCCCTCCAGAGGAAGAACTGGTTGGCCCCGGTGTGACACAGGATGCTGGACTGGGCGGACCTCTGGTCTGATCCAGCAGGGCTCTTCTTATGTTCTTAATCGGTGTACTTGGCAAGTGAGGGTGTACTTGGCAAGTGAGGGTGCCAACAGTTGCCAACTCTGGGTTGGGAAATTCATGGAGATTTGGGGGGGGTGAAGCCTAGAAAGGGTGACATTTGGGGTGATGAGGGATCCCAGTGGGGCGCCATGCCGTCCAAAGCAACCATATTCTCCAGGGGAACTGATCCCTGCAGTCAGCTGTAATTCCAGGAGAACTCCACCACCCCCAGTCCTCCCCCCACACACACACACCCTCTGCACAAAAACAAGGCGGAGCGATGAAGCCAAGACAGCCCCACCAGGAGCCTTGTAAAAGGGCCTCTCTGCTCTTGACCTGCACGAATTCACGCTATACCCTGGCAGGTCTGGCTCCCAAACAGCTGCTTTCCAGATCTCCCCTGCCCCACACCTGAAGCCCAACTCCGAGCTTTGTTTGAAGAGGTTTCTACTAAGGTGGAGGGGGGGGGAGAGAAGGGGGCGAGTCCAGGTGCACACCTGGAGGGCGTCAACGTCCACCCCACGCACGCACTCTGCTTCCCCAGGCAGCCCTCCAACGTAGGAAGGAAGCGGCTGTAGAGTCTCGTGAGCAAAAATTCTACTTTGTGAGCTACTGGCATTAAAGTTGTGAGCAAGCGATTTGGTTACTGCATAAATTAGTTTGCCCTGGAGCCCTCCTTCCTGAGCTAAGGCAAAAATGTGTGAGCCGGAGGCTTAAAAACTGTGAGCTAGCTCACACAAACTCAGCTTAGAGGGAACACTGCAATGCTCCCTCTAAGCTGAGGAGTCCTGGAGCCATCCTTCCTGAGCTAAGACAAAAATGTGTGAGCCGGAGGAGGCTAAAAACCTGTGAGCTAGCTCACACTAACTCAGCTTGGAGGGAACGCTGGTCAAGAGAGACCTTTGCACTGCAGAGGACGGGGACTGGATCTCGGACTGCCTGCACTGCAAAGCCAGGGTTGCCAACTCCAGGTTGGGAATTCCTGGAGGTTTGGGGGTGGAGCCCGGGGAGGGTGGGATTGGGGGAGGGGAGGGACCCCAGTTGGGCATAATGCCATAGAGCCCACCCTCCAAATCAGCCATTTTCTTCAGGGGAGCTGATCTCTATAGCCTGGAGATCAGCAGGGATTCCGGGAGATCTCCAGGCCCCCTCTGTAGGTTGGCAAGCCTATACGAAACAGGTGCTCTGCCACTCGTCTAGGGGCCCGCTTGCTTCTTGACGATGTGACCTAACAAAGTGGTCCTAACAGCCCATCTGAGTCCCTCCGAACATGCCGGATGAGACGGGGAACCAACTTTAGAAACCAATATAAGATTGTGCAATGGATAGAGCAGGTTGCGAAAGAGGTACTTCTCTCCCTTTCTCACAAGGCAAGATCTCCTTGTGGGCACTCCATGAAATTGCTGAGCAGTCGGGTTAGAACGAATATTAGGAAGTCCTTCTTCACCCAAAGAGTGATTAACACATGGAATTCACTGCCACAGGAGATGGTGGTGGCTACAAGCATGGACGGCTTCAAAAGGGAATTAGATAAGCCTCTGGAGCAGAGGTCCATCAGTGGCTATGAGCCACAAGGTATAGATAGGGGCTCTCGGTCTGGGGCAAGGGATGCTCTGTCTTCTTGGTGCTTGGGGGGGCAACAGTGGGAGGGCTTCTAGTGTCCTGGTCCCACTGCTGGACTTTCTGATGGCCCCTGGTATTTTTGGCCACTGTGTGACGGAGTGTTGGACTGGATGGGCCACTGGCCTGATCCAGCATTGGCTTCTCCGATGTTCTTAATAAAAGCCTACAAGGAAAGCAAAACCTTCATTTCTCCAGGCAGGAGTCACAAGGTCCCTTCCGCCCCTCGCCCCCAGTTGATCCTCAGGCCTCTGCCTCCCTTGCTTGCGCTGAGAGCTCTCCTTCCGCGTCCTCACGTCTCCCTCTACAGGCCGGATCCCACAAAGACAACCAGCTCTGCCTCGAACTGGAGGCGGTGGCGCAAGGGGTCAAGATCGGGGCAGGCCAAAGTATGCCACAGAGCTGGAAACCTAGCACCTCATGCAGCATTCGACATCTGGAGAGGGATCTTGAGAAACTCTGCATTCACCTCCTTTAAAAAAAACAACACGTTTCAAGCCCCTGCTATTGTAGAGAAAAACCTGCAGGCAGGATTTTGCTAAAGCGACTGGAAAAGAGATTTGTGGGGGTCGCACTGCTGGGTGCAAACCCGTGACCTCGGCTGCAGTCCACCCTGCCCAGTGGAGAAGCTTCAGCCGGTAGAGTCCGGCACGCAAAGCTGAAGACCCCGGCTGCTGCTCTGGCCACACTGGGCAACGTATGGGACCACCTCCTCCAGTGTTCCCTCTAAGCTGAGTGACTGTGAGCTAGCTCACAGTTTTTTAGCCTCCAGCTCACACATTTTTGTCTTGGCTCAGGGAGGAGGGCTCCAGAGCAAAGTAATTTATGCAGTAGCCAAATGGCTCGCTCACAGCTTTAATGTCAGCAGCTCACAAAGTAGAATTTTTGCTCACAAGACTCCGCAGCTTAGAGGGAGCATTGACCTCCTCCCATTCACTCTGGTTGTCTTTTGTGGGGGGGTCCCACCTCCACCCTCTGAGGTGGAGAGTAGTTTGGCGTAGTGGTTAAGTGCGCAGAGGCATAAATCCAATCTCCTCCTCCGGTTTGGTGTAGAGCCAGTTTGGTGTAGGGGTTAAGTGCGCGGACTCTAATCTGGGAGAACCGGGTTTGATTCCCCGCTCCTCCACTCGCACCTGGCTGGATGACCTTGGGCGAGCCGTAGTTCTGATAAAAGCTGTCCTTGAAAAAGAGCCGTTTCTGTCAAGAGCTCTCTCAGCCCCACCTGCCTCACAGGGTGTCTGTTGTGGGGAGGGGAAGGGAAAGGAGATTGTAAGCTGCTCTGAGACTCTGAGTGACGGGCGGGGTATACATCCAATCTCTTCTCTTCTTCTTTTTCTTCTTTTAAATAGCTGGAAACTGCAGAAAGGGCCTTCTCGGTTTGCCACCAAAACTCTGCGACTCTCTTTGCAGGGCAATTCACCTGGCTTTTGCCAACAGGTGAAGGCGCTTTTTTTTGCTTTGTTCGGCATCCCCCAATTACAGTTATTGGCCCTCTTCCCTGGCTCTGGTGTTTTATTTAAAACATTTAAACAATAAAATACAGTTAAAGACATAAAGTCCAATTCAGAACATATCAACAAACACCACTCGAAGGAGGGCCAAGAACTGTTATTGGGGGTGGGAGGATTATGCCAAATGAAACAGCACAGTTTTCGCCTGCTGGCAAGAGACCTCCAGAGCAAACTAGGGAGGCACACAAGTCTCCCCGGGGGAGGGAGTCCGAAGTTCTGGTGCCACGACAGAGAAGGCCATTCCTCGGGTCTCTCTACCCATCTGTCCTCAGACGGCGGGGGCAACTGGACCAGGGCCTCAGGGAACGACCAGACTGAACAGAAGAAGAAGAAGAGAGAAGAAGAGATTGAATTTATACCCCGCCCTTCACTCAGAGTCTCAGTGCAACAGGTAGCCAAATAGCGAATTCTAGCATGGAGAAGCAGTGGCTATGTTTGACTAGTGCCCAATGAGATTTTTGATGACTATTTGAAATTGTATAAGACGCTTGATTTGTAAAATTGATTTTTCTACATCGTGAAAAGAAATAAGGACAACAAGATTGTGTAAAGAATACTTACTTCTGATGAAGAGACATTCACGAAACAAAGAGAAGAATCCGGAGCCTTCATTATTTGGCTACATGTTGCACTGTTTGCATTTATATACTGTTGTGTTTTCTTGTTATACCTGTATTTTCATCTATTTCACGTAAACGTTTGCATATTCTATGAGATATAGCATTTCCCTGGCTTTTTTTCATATGCTGTTTTACCTTCCAAGCTAGGAGGTCTCTTATTTTGCTTAGTGAAGGGGATGTGAGCATCGCTGAACCAGGCGAGGACAATCCTGATGAGTTCGGCAGCTATGTGAATGGGAGGTTTCCCTCCGACTCTGGCACGGCCACCTTTGGATCCAAAGGAGGAAACTTCCTTGCTGGTTGGAAGGGTGAGTAAAGAGGGCCAGATCCCTTCAGGACACTTGGAAGCTGTCGAAAGCTACAGATGAGATACGACTGCAGAAGTCAAAGAGGAAACCAGTTGCGGTTAACCAGAAGAGTCAAACGGACCATAAAAGGGCAAGACAGCTGTCTGTGAAAAGTGGAAGTCTGGTCCCGGAAAGGAGAATAAAATGGAGCACAAGTTATGGCAAAATACTAAGCTGACAATAACAAATCGAGAAAAGCATTCAGATGAACCACAGGAATGTCTTTACATACATCAGAAGCAGGGAAACCACCAGGGACACAGGGGGGGCCCTGGACATAAAAAGGGCGAAAGTGTTTCTTAAAAGGAGATGGAAAGACGGCAGACAAGCTGACTCTCTTCACCAGGGAAGAGGTGGGGTGGCTTCCCCTGTTTCTCAGGAACAGTTCTGGAGAACTCAGTCAAACACAGATAATGAGGGATGAAGTTCAAAAAGAGAACTGACACATTAAAAGCTGGTGCGTATAAACCAGCGGGACTAACCCGGAAAGAGATCTTGGGGTTGCAGTGGACAGCTCCATGAATACACTGACTCAGCATGTAGCAGTGGTGGTGAAAAGGCAAAATCCATGCTGGGGATTATTAGGAAAGGGTCTGAAAATAAACCAGCCGACGTTTACTGCTGCTGTATAGATTTATGCAGGGGTCATTTCGTAGAAAAAGAGGTGCAGGAGCTCATTAGCATAACTCATTAGCATAACTCGTTTGCATATGCCACACCCCCTGACATCACCGGAAGTGTGTCAGAAGGCAACACCCACCGCTCAGGCTCCACTGGACTGTTTTGGATTGCTAGCTATCGGGGGGGGAGGGGCGTGCAGAGAGGAGCGAAGCATCCAGCCTGGGGGGTGCGCGGGGGGGGGGGTGCTCTGCAACTTACCTGGCTGCTTCTTGCTCCTCGTGGCCCGACTGAGGGATTTTGGGAGCAGCGGGCGGGGCTTGTTGCATGTGCCCGCCCCCTGGGCTCCTTACTGCCGGAGCTCCGCTCCTGTGCGCTCCTGCAGGAAATGACCCCTGGTCCCATGAGGATCCGTACTTGGGCCAGTGCTATTTAATTGTGTGCAGTTCGAAAAGGATGTGGATAGAATGGAGCGGGTGCAGAGGAGAGCGACGAGGATGATTGGGGGCCTGGAGACCAAGAAGCCTAGGAGGAAAGGACGAAGGACTTGGGAATATTTAGTCTGGAGAAGAGGAGGTTGAGGGAGGACATGATTGCTCTCTTGGAGTCTTTGAAGGGCTGTCACTTAGAGGAGGGCAGGGAGCTGTTCCTGTTGGCAGCAGAGGAGAGGACTCGCAACAATGAGTTTTTTTAAGGGTGGGAAGGTAAAAGGTAAAGGTAAAGGTTCCCTTCCTCGAAAGCCAGTCGAGTCCAACTCTAGGGTTGCGGTGCTCATCTCCGTTTCAAAGTCGAAGAGCCAGCGCTGTCCGAAGACGTTTCTGTGGTCATGTGGCCGGCATGACTAAACACCAAGGCGCACGGAACGCTGTTACCTTCCCACTGAAGTGGTACCTATTTATCTCCTTGCAATTTCTTGCTTTCGAACTGCTAGGTTGGCAGGAGCTGGAACTAGAGACGGGAGCTCACTCCATCATGCGGCACACTCGGGTCTCGAACTGCTGAACTACCGACCTTCCACAGCCTGCAGTTCAGCGTCTTCACCACTTGAGCCATCGCAAGTGGGAAGGTACCAGCTGGCTATTAGGAAAAACCTTTTTACGGTAAGAGGTGTGCCACAGTGGAATCAGCCGCCCAGGAAGGTGGTGAGCTCCCCCTCACTGGCGGTCTTTAAGCAGTGGCTGGCCAAACACTTGTCAAGGATGCTCTTGGCTGATCCTGCATTGAGCAGGGGGTTGGACTAGATGGCCCGTATGGCCCCTTCCAACGCTGTGATTCTATGAGTCTCTGAATTTGTTCACAAGTGATCTGGAACTCGGGGTGATCAGTGCAGTGGCCAAGTTTGCAGTTGACACAAAATTATTCAGGATGGTGAAAACTGAGGCCGACTGTGAAGAGCTCCAGGCGGATCTCCGGAAATTGGGTGAGTGGCCAACAACATTGCAAATGATATTCTGTATCATTAAGTGTAAGGGATGCACACTGGAACAAAAGAAGTTGATTTTAAATATATGCCGATGGAGCCTGAACTGGCTGAGGCTTAGACGGAGAGAGATCTCGGGGATGTATCGATGAGAACACAACGAATATGTCGACTCAGGGTGCAGTCTATGCCCAGGGAAATGCTTACACACCCATGGGGATGCTGGTCGCCACTTTGGGGTCAGGGGTCAGGAAGCCATTTTTCTCCGGACCACTTTGGCTTGAGATCTTAGAGGGGTTTCTTTGTCATCTTCTGGGCATGGAACAGCGGTCACTGCGGATGTGGAGAGGGAGGTGTTTGTGAATTTCCTGCATTGTGCAGGGGGCTAGACTAGATGACCCCAGAGGTCCCTTCCAACTCTATGATTCTATTGCAGACCAATGTGGCTACCACCAAGCCACAGCCCCCCCCTCCAATTCTGCCATGGAAGCCCGCTGGGTGACCTTGGGCCAGTCACACACTCTCAGCCTAACCTATCTCACAGGGTAATTAATGGTGGCAATAAAATGTGGGAGGGGGGAATGATGATGTAGGCCACTGGGAGTAAGAAGAGCAGGGTAAGAATGTCTACATAATTAAATAACTAACAAATGTTCTTAGTTCTCGTGGCCCTTTCTTACATGCCCAGGGAAATGCTGATTGCCGCATTGGGGTCAAGGGAATCAATTTTTCTCCAGGCCAGTTTGGCCAGGGATCCTGGAGGTTTTTTGGTCATCTTCTGGGTGTGGAACAGGGGTCACTGGGGGTGTCTGTGGGGGGGGGGTGTTTGTGAATTTCCTGCATTGTGCAGGGAGTTGGACTAGATGACCTTGGAGGTCCCTTCCAACTCTATGATTCTATGATACCAGTAGCTCCATGCTGGGGATTTTCTGGAACGGGAATGAAAATAAAATGGCCAATACTGCAGTGTCCTGTATAGGTCTATGATGCAGGTGGAAATCTTTCGCCTCACCTACCACCTGACACTTTTAGCTGGAGATGCTGGGGATTGAACCTGGAACCTTCTACTCTACCACTGAGCCACAGCCCCTCCCTGGAAAAAAACACAGCGGTACTGTCAGTTCAAATCAACGTGAGGTCAATGTAATGTTTCTCAATACAATTCTCGGGGGGGGGGACCCATTCAATAAAATGTGCATTTTGCAGGTCAATAAGCTAGAGGTTTACCCAATTCAGAGAGGCTGTAGGCTTGATCCCTGAAGGTGATCCGGTCTGACTTATAGATGGGAGCTTTACAGTGGTGATGCAGGGAGAAGAGGTGGAGCAGCTGGGTGGGTCGTAGTTGATCTCTCCACTGGTTGGGACCAGAGCTGGAGGAAGAGGAAAAGAGTCCTGGGTATTGTTTTAAATAGTTCAAGGCTGGTCATAACTGTACTGTTCTCATTCAACCACCAAGGGCTTGTTTTGATATAAAAGGTAGCCATCTACAGACATAAGAACATAAGAACGTAAGAGAAGCCAATGTTGGATCAGGCCAAAGGCCCATCCAGTCCAATACTCTGTGTCACACAGTGGCCAGAAATATCAGGTGCCATCAGGAGGTCCACCAGTGGGGCCAGGACACTAGAAGTCCTCCCACTGTTGATCCCCCCCAAGCACCAAGAAGACAGAGCATCACTTGCCCCAGAGCCCCTACCTATACCTTATGGCTAATAGCCACTGATGGACCTCTGACGGACACCCTGCAACTGACTTCAACTGATGTAAGGACAAAAGGCATGTTCCAGAGGGAAGACTTCTTGGTATGACGAGGATCTGTGGAGGAGAATGCCCCTTTCTTCCTTTTCTTCTTCTTCTTCTTCTTTTTGGTATTTGTGTGTGTGTGCGCGTTTGCACCCGGAAGTCACGGCGACTTCTGGTAAGTGACCCCTAACGGGGGCCTGGAGGATATTCAGAGAGAATATCAGAAGAAGAAAAAGGAGGAGGAGGAGGAGGTTGGATTTATACCCCACCCTTCACTCGGAGTCTCAGAGCGGCTTGCAAACTCCTTTCCCTTCCCCTCCCCAAAACAAACACAGAACTATGGCTTGCCCAAGGTCACCCAGCAGCTGCAAGTGGAGGAGTGGGAAATTAAACCCGGTTCTCCCAGGTTAGAGTCTACACACTTAACCACTACACCAAACTATGTATCAAAGGTCATGCTTTGTTTCGGCTGCATTTGAGATTTCTGCTTGTTTTCGGATTTCTTATTATAATCAACATTCTATTGAATTCATGGACAACAAAAAATAACCACAGAAAGGTTAGTATTTAACATCCAATAATAATAAACTCATAGGTTCCGTATATTTTATCAGTATCAAGATGGTGGGGAAAATACAATAATAACCCTCGATTCAAGTTTCCTATGAACTATAATAAGCTAGGAAAGTACAGTGTGATCACTAAGAGACAAAATGATTTTTCAATAAATGGTAAAGGTGTATATACGTTTCAGCCATCAGAGCAACCAATGATTTAAAAACGGATTGAAGAATTTAGAGATGTGATGTTGTCTGGGATTAAATTCTGTGTTGACATATAATCTAGAACAGCATACCATTTCTTGGTGAAATCTGAGTGCCTAGGGCCAGTTTGGTGTAGTGGTTAAGTGTGCAGACTCTAATCTGGGAGAACCGGGTTTGATTCCCCACTCCTCCACTCACACCTGCTGATGTGACCTTGGGTCAGTCACAAGCTCTGGCACAGCTGTCCTTGAAAAAGAGCCGTTTCTGTCAGAGTTCTCTCAGCCCCACCCACCTCACAGGGGGTCTGTTGTGGGGAGGGGAAGGGAAAGGAGTCTGTAAGCCGCTCTGAGACTCCAAGTGAAGGGCGGGGTATAAATCCAATCTCTTCTTCTTCTTCTAGGGAAGAATTCATATTGTAATAATCGATTGGTAATCTTTCTCATCATTTAAATATTCCAAATTTTTATCAAACGACAGTGCTAACGTTGGTAGTGAGCAGCGTTCCCTCTAAGCTGAGTTAATGTGAGCTAGCTCACAGTTTTTTAGCCTCCGGCTCACACATTTTTGTCTTAGCTCAGGAAGGATGGCTCCAGAGCAAACAAATTTATGCAGTACCCAAATCACTCGCTCACAACTTTAATGCCAGGAGCTCACCAAGTAGAATTTTTGCTCACAAGACTCCACAGCTTAGAGGGAACATTGGTAGTGTGTTCTTTCCAGATTTCTGTAAACCAAACCCTAGTGTTCTAATCACAGAATCATAGACTCTCAGATTTGGAAGGGGCCACACAGGCCATCTAGTCCACCCCCTGCTCAGTGCAGGACCAGCCTAGAGCATCCCTGACAAGTGTCTGTCTAGCCGCTGCTTGAAGACTGCCAATGAGGGGGAGCTCACCACCTCCCCAGGCAGCCCATTCCACTGTGGCACAACTCTTACTGTAAAAAAGTTTTCCCTAAGATCCAGCTGCTACCTTCCCGCCCTTAATGTAAACCCATTCTTGCGAGTCCTCTCCTCTGCTGCCAACAGGAACAGCTCCCTGCCCTCCTCCTCTAAGTGACAAGTCTTCAAATACTTAAAGAGAATCGAATCATAGAAGCATCACTGGATGCTTCATCCTGTTGACTGCGCTTGACTTATACTATGTAATCCGCCTTGAGTCTCAGAGAGACAGGCGGCTATAAATGCCACCACAAGAAGAAGAACAAGAAGAACAGCAATAACCATTGTGCCAGTCATCGTTGGAGCCCTCGGAGCGGGGCCTGGGAGTCTCAAGGAACCCCTGGACGTTCTGGGCATTGAGCAGATAACACCAGCTCAGCTCCAGAAGACCCTGCTGCTCGGAACAGCAAGAACCCTGCGAAGATGCCTCCGCAATTCCCAAGAGGTTGGCTAGATCTCAAATTGCAGAACACCATCTACCAGTCAAATATCTGACTGTGACCATTCTTCTTCTTCTTCATCCAAGGTGAGCCAAGAGGCAGCAATTGCCATGGGCACAGGCCCTCCCAGTGGGTGAACTCAGACCCCTTTGTCATTGCACCCCCAGCACAGATGGGAGCCCTGCACCCCCTATGTGGAAAGAAGGCGCTGTCCCCAACCCCCAGAGTGGTCACAGGCTGTCTTGGCCTGGCCACGGCCTCCATGTCATCAAAGCTGGTGAAGAGGAGGAGGAGGAGGAGATCAGGGCCCTGCAGGACCTTCTACAGTTCCGCAGGGCCTGCGAGACGGAGCTCTTCCGCCAGGCTTTCAAATAGCAGCCGCCACCACTATTAACAACTATAACATACTGTAGAGCCTGGTTCCTGATTGGTTATCGACAGCCTAGGTGCGCAGATTATACTGAAGAAGATCAGTCAACTGGATATCTAAACAACTATGGAACATATTCATACGGGAACTGCCATCGTTATGATATCAAAGAACACAGCTAACACTTTTATAGTAAATATGGTATTGTTTTAATTGGCATGTTTTTAAGTGTTTTATGAAACCTTAAGTGTTATGGATTTTTTCTTTGGTAACCCCCCCTGGACCTGCTTTTGGGGGGGGGGGGGTAGGGCGGGATATAAGTGGGGAAATAAATAAATAAATAAATAAATAAATAAATAAGTAAGTAAGTAAGTAAGTAAGTAAGTAAGTAAGTAAGTGTTCAGGCACCAGACAGGCCAGCCTTCCCCATCTTCGGGAACAGGGGAACAGGCGCCTTCCCGGTCCCCTAAGTAAGATGGCTTACTGCTAACACAATGGCCCCAGAGTACCTACATGCAGTAGGTTTGGGGCAGACCACAGCGGGCCCCAAATCTGGAGAGGAACCGATTCTCTAGGTCGATGGTGGTCTCCCCGATCTTCTGATCCTTGGACAGGAGGTCGTAGTCATAGAGGGAGACCTTCAGATCCTTCTCCAGGGGCAAAGTGCAGGTCAGCTCAAACATCCTACGGAGAGAGAGGAAGGCTTCAGTTGCGCTGGAAAGCATCAGATGTAGACCTGGAGGATGGCAAGGTGCTGGACTGGCTTAGCCAGCGTGGTGTCTCATGGTCTGAGTGCTGGATTAGACTCAAACGTGACCACACAGATCAGAATCAGACCCTCGGTCCACCAGGATCGGTATTGTCTACTCAGACTGGCAGCAGCTCTCCAGGGTCTCAGGCAAAGAAAGGTCTTTCACATCAGCGGATCCTTTTTTTTTTTTAAATGGAGGTGCTGGGGACTGAACCAGGGACCTCCTGCATGGGAAGAAGAGGGTCTTCCACTGTACCACAGCACCTCCCCCAAAACTATTGTCTACTCAGGCTGGCGGTGGCTCTCCGGGGTCTCAGGCTGAGGTCTTCCCCATCATCTACTGCTTGGTCCTTTTAACTGGAGAGGCCACCGGGGATTGAACCTGGGACCTTCTGCATGCCAAGCAAAGGCTCTACCACTGAGCCACAGCCCCTCTTTACAGCTCTCCAGGGTCTCAGGTGGAAGTCTTTCCCATCACCTCCTGCCTGGTCCTTTCTAACTGGAGATGCCGGGGATTGAACCTGGGACCTTCTGCATGCCAAGCAGAGGCTCTTCCACTGAGCCACAGCCCCTCTTCGCAGCTCTCCAGGGTCTCAGGCGGAGGTCTTCCCCACCACCTCCTGCCTGGTCCTTTTAACTGGAGATGCCGGGGATTGAGCCTGGGACCTCCTGCATGCCACGCAGAGGCTCTTCCACTGAGCCACAGCCCCTCTTTGCAGCTCTCCCAGGCCTCAGGCGGAGTTCTTCCCCACCACCTCCTGCCTGGTCCTTTTAACTGGAGATGCTCCTGGGGATTGAACCTGGGACCTTCTGCATGCCAAGCAGAGGCTCTTCCACTGAGCCACAGCCCCTCTTTATAGCTCTCCAGGGTCTCAGGCACGGGTCTTTCCCATCACCTCCTGCCTGGCCCTTTCTAACTGGAGATGCCGGGGATTGAACCTGGGACCTTCTGCATGCCAAGCAGAGGCTCTTCCACTGAGCCACAGCCCCTCTTTATAGCTCTCCAGGGTCTCAGGCACGGGTCTTTCCCATCACCTCCTGCCTGGCCCTTTCTAACTGGAGATGCCGGGGATTGAACCTGGGACCTTCTGCATGCCAAGCAGAGGCTCTTCCACTGAGCCACAGCCCCTCTTTATAGCTCTCCAGGGTCTCAGGCACGGGTCTTTCCCATCACCTCCTGCCTGGCCCTTTCTAACTGGAGATGCCGGGGATTGAACCTGGGACCTTCTGCATGCCAAGCAGAGGCTCTTCCACTGAGCCACAGCCCCTCTTTATAGCTCTCCAGGGTCTCAGGCACGGGTCTTTCCCATCACCTCCTGCCTGGTCCTTTTAACTGGAGATGCCGGGGAGTGAACCTGGGATCTTCTGTGTGCCAAGCAGAGGCTCTGCCACTGAGCCATGGACCCTCCCTTCTCAGGAAGACTTGGGTTCAAATCCCCACGCATGCCACAGAAGCTCACTGGGTGACCTTGAGCCAATCTCTCTTTCTGCCTAACCTAACCCAAGGGGTTATTGTGGGGATAAAATGGGCAAGGGCAAAACCAAGCACAGGAGTCTGGGGTCCTTTGGTGAAAAGGCAGGACAAAAAATGTGACTGACAGCTGTCAACATTCGGCTTCCTCAAGCTCCATCAAGAGAGCAAAGAGGAACGACTGAAATACAGGATAGTTTGCCTTAAAGTTTCTCATTTTCTTTGAATTTGTGAAGGCGGGATTGAAAACGACGTTCTTTAGAGGAAAGTTGGCATTTATTCATCGGCTATTGGGATCGGAGATTTCGCTCTAATCTGTGTGATTCCCTGGTATTTTGTTTCTTCATCACCCACACGAAAATGATCACGGGGTTGTGGTAATCACATAATCAGGCTACTTTCTTGGCCTGCGTGCTTCCCAATATTTTTACAAGAATTTGCAGAGTTTCATAAAAGTTCAAAACATTTTCTGAACAGCTGGCCGCGCTGGAACGGAGCTGATGAACTGCTGGAGCAGACCACGGAACGGCCAGGGTTGGCGGCTTCTGCCAGGGAGAGTTCTCCAGAAGATGGCCAAAGCCCTTCCCATGTGAAAGGGGCTGCCCTGGGTTCCCAGGGGTGCGTAAAGTCCATTTGCAAGGTGCTTATGCCCAAAGTTAAGGCAAGACATTCACAGCAGCTTAGCCTTTCTCTTTGGACAATCTCCACCCCCAACACACACACACTATGCTTGGAGGTCAAAGGCCCTCTTACTTCCCAAAGACAGGCTCCAGAGTGCAAGGGATGTAATGGTCCTGGTCATTGATGGATTTCTTCCCAGCGGAAATCTTCACGTAAGGGTCACACTGCAGAGGAGAAGAAAAGAGGGGCAGGGAAAGCGAGTTCTCTACAACAGTCCCAGTCATGAGCACTGTGGAACGGTGAAAACGGCAGCATCAGAGCAGGCTGAGCTCGGGAGCAATGCTCCCTCTAAGCTGCGGAGTCTTGTGAGCAAAAATTCTACTTGGTGAACGACTGGCATTAAAGTTGCGAGCGAGCGATTTGGCTCCTGCATGAATTAGTTTGCTCCGGAGCCCTCCTTCCTGAGCTAAGACAGAATTGGTGAGCTGGAGGCTAAAAGACTGTGAGCTAGCTCACACTAACTCAGCTTAGAGGGAACACAGCTTGGGAGCCAGAGGGCTTTGAGCAGGGGCACAGACCGGGCCAGGCCAGAAAAGCCCCACACCCAGCACTCTGTCAGAGACAACCTCTGTGAAACTAGCAGCCGAGTCCCGTGACCTATGTTCCCTCTAAGCTGTAGGGTCTTGTGAGCAAAAATTCTACTTTGTGAGCTACTGGCATTAAAGTTGTGAGCAAGCAATATGGCTACTGCATAAATTAGCTTGCTCTGGAGCCATCCTTCCTGAGCTAAGACAAAAAATGTGTGAGCCAGAGGCTGAAAATTTGTGAGCTAGCTCACACTAACTCAGCTTAGAGGGAACACTGCCCGTGACCATCCCCAGTTTTCACTCAGCAATGTTGTCCCTTTCCCTCACTCCCAGGGAGGGGGGAGTGACCAAAACCAAACTGAATAGTAACTGCTGCCAACAGCAAATTTGAGAGTATCTGCTGCTAGACAGATCTATTAGCACTCTGTATGTGAATTACTGTTAAGTGGCTTAGCCTAGTTGCGGCATCTCCTGTTTCACTCATCCTAGCTACTGCAGGGACAATCTGTTGCACCACTGTGATTTCAAGCTAAAGCTCTCAAGGGATGGCCTTCCCATTATTATTGCACTTCAGATAGCAAGTCTGAACAGGTGTGGTGTGTTTACAGAGATCAGGCTTTGAACATTCAAAGTATTCCAAAAGTATTTATAATCTTCTCTTGGGAGTCCATCCCCTCCCCGGATTGTTTGGATCTTCGACCCATCAAAGATGTTCCAGCTTACCAGATAAATTAGCCAAATGCTATACAAACACCTCCCAAAACTGTTGGAAATGTAAACATAGTATAGGTACTTACTATCATATGTGGTGGAGGTGTAATATAACACAAAATTATTGGTGTAGAGTACATAAATTAATAAAAGAAATCATGGATACAGATTTACCATATATACCAGAAATGTTCTTGTTAAATGTTACCAGATGAATGTAAAAAAACCCAGATCAATATGTTATAACGTATATGTTAACTTCGGCTCGTATTGTGTTCGCCAAATATTTGAAATGAGAGAAAATACCTTCAAAGGAAGAACTAATTCATAGGTTGTTGGATATAGCGAGATGGATAAATTGTCATTAATTTTACAAGGAAAAGACAAAGCTTTGTTTAGAGATAGATGGTATAGATTTTATACCCGGTTAGAAAACTAGCATTGTAATAGACTCACAGTATTGTAATCAAGTTAATGTAACTGATATATGTATCAGTGATGATGTGAAAATTTTAAATAAAACTCTTTTAAAAAAAAGATGCTCCAGCTTTGGTCTTCCTGCACTGAGTGGGAATTTTCTTAGTCTGGTTGGCCTGGAAGTCCATTTTTACCACCATGGTTCTATCCCCCACAGAGGTAAACAGTGCACAGGATTTGCCCCCAAGGGGTGGCTGCTTAAACGCCAGAGCATGAAGAATTCCAGGACAAACATCAAATATGGGTTTTTTGCTGCTGATCGAGGTAACAGAAAAAGATTTCAAGGATGAGAACAGCAAGGCCTCCCTCACTCGGTGTCTTCCAAGCCCAGTTGAGATGAATATCTCTGGGGACTAGACAGCATGAACCTGCCCTTATGAAACCATCGGCACACTCTAAGCGGGGTCTTACCTTCCCATTTAGGTCTTTCGGCTGGAGATCAAAGGCCCGGATGATATAAACCCTGACGAGGCACTCCTGGGGCCCTCTGGCTGGGAGCTGATGGAACTGGCGAGGGGGGACAGGCACTGCGGGGTCATCCGGCAGAGGGTAGATCTTGAAGGAGCCCTGCAAACAAAGTGGGGGAGCAGATCTGTCATCGAGACTAGATCGAATGGGTGGAAATGACAAGGGAGTCGATACCGGCTAGCTATCAGGAGAGACTTCCCTGCCTCGGGAGGTGATGGATGCTCCTTTGCTGGACGTTTCTGAGCGGAGGCTGGATGACCATCTTTCCGGTATGTTGTAGGGCTCTCTTTTGGCTATGCTCCTGCAGAGCGCAGGGGGTTGGACTAGATGACTTGCAAGGCCCCTTCCAACTCTAACATTGTATGATTCTATGATTATATCAACGCTATGGGAGCCTCTCCTGTTTCCCAATAGCCACACATTCCTTTACTGTTAAAAAGGAGAGCATACATGTTAACCACACCGGTGCAGACACCATGTGGGAACCAGAACACCTGGAAAGGCCTTACTAGGTGGCCACCTCTCCAATGCAAGGGCAAACAGAAAATGTCTCAAGAGAAGCCAGGCATTTTTTCCCCTAGAACACTAAAGGAAACCTCCCCTAACTTTTTCTTTATTTAGTTATTTATTCATTTACATTATATATAGTCCACCTTTCTCACTCGGACTCAAGGCGGATTACAACACAGTGAATCAATACAATTAACAGGCTGGGACACGCAGTAGGAAACAGGGTTGTAGAACCAACTAGAAGTCTAAAGCAGAACTGAGGCAAAGCGTAAGTAAAGGTAAAGGTTTCCCTTGCTTGAAAGCCAGTCAAATCCGACTCTAGGGGGTGGTGCTCATCTCCATTTCCAAGCCGAAGAGCCAGCGCTGTCCGAAGACGTTTCCATGGTCATGTGGCCGGCATGACTAGACGCAGAGGCGCACAGAACGCCATTACCTTCCCACTGAAGCGGTACCTATTTATCTACTTGCAATTTCTTGCTTTCGAACTGCTAGGCTGGCAGGAGCTGGGGCCAGAGATGGGAGCTCACTCCGTCATTCGGCACTTAGGTCTCGAACTGCTGAACTACCGACCTTCCGGTCTGCAGTTTAGTGTCTTAACCACTTGAGCCATCGCATAAGTGGCCCGATCCAACTTTGGCTTTTCTGATGTTCTTATGACTATATCTTGCCTATTCTAAAACAGCTCCATGGGCTGCTGGTTTGTTTCCATGTCCAATTCAATGGGCTGGTTATGACCTTAGCCCTCCAGGGCCTGGGACCCAGGTCTAAAGGACCACCTCCCCCCATCTATCCCTAAGCATCAACTGCAGGCTGATAGCTATGGGACATTCCCTAGGGAGGCTACAGCATTCGGGGAGGGAAGAGCCATTGTTGGGGGGTTTGTTGTACCTTCTGTGTTTTTTCAATTTTGGATTCTCAAGCTGCCTTGAGCCAAAAAGGAAAGTTAGGGTATAAATATTTTAATGAATAGAATAAAATAAATAAATACTCAGGAACTCAGCCTCTGAGAGTTCTGGTCTGAGGCCACCAGGAGCTCTGCACTTATTTCTTGGGGGGGGGGGGCACCATATTGGCAATGAAATTACCCAGAAAGAAAGGAAAATGGGACGCTATCATGGTCATTCACAGTCTGCTGCTTTTCAGCACTGGCCCAGAATCTGCAGTTTTGACTCTTATGGCAAAGAAAGGGAAATAAAACACAGTCGTGACCAAAACTCAGGGCAAATTCCAGAGAGTATCTCTGGCCAGCCAAAATAACGGAATGCCGCAAGGCTCTCTGTTATTGAAATCCAAGGACCTCTCTCTCATTTGCCCACACATACAGACAGAGTCACTCACTCTGCTTAAACAGCAAATATCAACATTTAAAATTCCAAATCTTAACCTTCCATTTCAAAGTCTGGACTACGAGCTGGGGATTTTTGCACACAAGGGATCCTCAGTTGACAACCAAACGGACAGAGACCGTCAGGTGACTTCTCCTCACTATGACAGTATCTGTAGGTTTCCCCGTGGAGCAAACCGCCGTTCCTTGGGGAAAGGGGCTATTATGCAAACAGCCTGGGGGAAGAGAGTTCAGCCCCCTAGCCCCAATCTAAATCTCTCCCCATGGTTGGAAGAAGAAGAAGAAGAAGAAGAAGCAGCAGCAGCAGCAGCAGCAGCAGCAGCAGCAGCAGCAGCAGCGAGCGATTTGGCTACTGCATACATTAGTTTGCTCCGGAGCCACATCCTTCCTGAGCTGAGACGAAGAAGAAGAAGAAGAAGAAGAAGAAGAAGAAGAAGAAGAAGAAGAAGACGACGACGAAGAAAACGAAGAAGAGGAGGAGGAGGAGGAGATTGGATTTATACCCCGCCCTTCACTTGGAGTCTCAGAGTGGCTTACAAACTCCTTCCCCTTCCCCTCCCCACAACAGACACCCTGTGAGGTAGGCGGGGCTGAGGGAGCTCTGAGAAAAACTGCTCTTTTACAAGGACAGCTCTTATCAGAACTACGGCTGGCCCAAGGTCATACAGGAAGCGCAAGTGGAGGAGTGGGGAATCAAACCCGGTTCTCCCAGATTAGCGTCCGCGCACTTAACCACGACACCATTTACAGACCCAGGGAGTCCTAATTATTGATCTCCCCACACACTGCTGTTTTGGTCCTCCCATGTGTCCACAGAAGGACCAGTTCAAGGTCCCAGCAAGGAACACCTGCTGGGCCCGCACCACTGCCTGCCACAGGGTACCAAATTCCTGGGAAGTTGCCACAGGAGACGACGGTGTACCCAGCCATGGGTAGCGCAGGCCCAGAAGGGGAATCCAGCCAGCTCCTGTTCTGCTTGTTGGGAAAGGCATTGTCTGAGGTGCAAATGTGGCAGGGTAGGAGCTTTCATGAGTCCCCGCTCACTTCTTCATACCCGGCCACATATTTTGTGAGTCTTCCAGGTGCTCCTGGACTCTTGCTCTTTTCTCCTGCTACAGACAGACAAACACGGCCACCCATCTCGGTGTGCAAAGAAGAAGAGAAGGAGACCCTGCAGGGGGCAGCGAGAAGACAATTAGAGAGGACAGGGAGGTCTGCATCTTCTCTCTCCCAGGGGTCATTTCGTAGAAAAAGAGGTGCAGGAGCTCATTAGCATAACTCATTAGCATAACTCATTTGCATATGTCACACCCCCTGACATCACCAGAAGTATATCAGAAGGCAACACCCACCGCTCACGCTCCACTGGACTGTTTTGGATTCCTAGCTATTGGGGGGGGGGGCGTGCAGATCTGTCCTCGCAGAGGAGGGAGAGCTTGTGCCTGAATAAAACTTGGTCTTAAAGGTGCCACTGGACTGTTTTGGACCGGGGGGCTGGCAGGGGGGGGGCTCTGCAACTTACCTGGCTGCTTCTTGCTCTGACTGAGGGCTGCTGGGAGCAGGGGGTGGGGCTTGTTGCATGTGCCCGCCCCCTGGCCTCTTTACTGCCGGAGCTCCACTTCTGTGCGCTCCTGCAGGAAGTGACCCCTGCTCTCTCCTGTTAAGTGTCATTCCTTGTCTGTCTCTGGATCACTACTCTAAGGGCAGTGTCCCCCTTCTTCTCGGGAGTGCCACGCTCAGTCTTAGCCTCTCCCTCAGCTAGAGACATAGTCAGGAACCCGCCTCTGTCTCTCCTCTTTCCTACCAAGTATGTTAATTCCTAAATAAACCTTTCATAGAATCATAGAATGTTAAGAGTGGGAAGGGACCTTGCAGGCCATCTAGTCCAACCCCCTGCACGCTGCAGGAGCACAGCCGGAAGACAGCCCCACAACATACCCAAAAGATGGCCGTCCAGCCTCCGCTTGAAAACGTCCAGCGAAGGAGCACCCACCACCTCCCGAGGCAGACCGCTCCACTGCTCAACCACTCTTACAGTTAGGAAGTTTCTCCTGATATTTAGCCGGTATCGACTCCCTTGTAATTCTCACCCATTAGACCTAGTCTTGCCATCCGGAGCAAGAGAGAATAGATCCACTCCATCTTCTACATGACAGCTCTTCAAATAGTTGAAGACTGCAATCATGTCCCCTCTAAGCCTTCTCTTTCCCAGGCTAAACAGACCCAGCTCTTTCAGCCTTTCCTCGTAAGACTTGGATTCCAACCCTCTCACCATCCTGGTTGCCCTCTTCTGGATACGCTCGAGCTTGTCAATATCCTTCCTAAAATGTGGTGCCCAAAACTGGACACAGGACTCCAGGTGAGGCCTGACCATAGCAGAACAGAGCGGGACTACCACCCCCTGTGATCTGGACACAAGGCTTCTGTTAATGCATCCTAAGATTCCATTAGCTTTCTTCACAGCCACATCGCACTGCAGATCAGGTTGGGCATCGTAGCTGTGCAAATTACTCTGCCAACACTGCTGAGAGCTGGGAATGATCGGGAGCCCCCGTGGACTATCGGCACCTTCCTCATTATGGGATGCCAAGCAGTCTCTTGGGCAACTTGTCTGCAGAACCGGCTTGGACCCACAGCCCATCTTCCATTTGCTTAAACCCTTCGGGGTGACCGCCTGTCTCCAGAGGTCTCCCACCTTCCAAGTCCATTCTGAGCCTCACGGGTTCCGTCTCCAAACCAGCCCTGCCCACAGTCTGCATCAGTCCTCAACCAGCACGCCTGCGCCCAGGGAAGGCAAAGAGGCCAGCAGACCTTGAATTGCCCCACCACCGTCGGGTCTTCGTTGGCATCCTGTGTCTTTCCACGGTACAGCTTAAAGGTGCGGCAGAAATCTGAGAGGCCCCCATAGTCTTCGACGTTCTCCAGCTCGGTTTCGAAGACCTAAGGGAGGGAGGGAGACCGCAAAAGGTGACGGCTTGCCCCACCCGGCCCCCTGAAGAGTCCCCATCTCCTTCCTTTAGCAAGAAGGTCTCAGTTCTCAGCAGCTAGCTGAATCAAGGGCCTTCAAACTGAGTCCTCCTTCACCTACAGCCAGTGCAAGCCCTGCCATCTCAGACGCATTCGTGACACAAAGCCACAGGGTCACATGAAGCCGCTAAATCAGACCATCAGTCCGTCAAGGTCAATATTGTCTACTCGGACTGGCAGGGTCTCTCCAGAGACTCAGACTGGGGCTTCCCACTTGGTCCTTTTCAAATGGAGATGCCGGGTATTGAACCTGGGACCTCTTGCATGCAACACAGAGGCTCTCGCACTGAGCCTCTGCCCAAATGAATAAATCTAGGTGGGTCACTCGTGAAGCTGCCATCTCCTGAATCAGACCATTGGTTCATCAAGGTCAGTGTTGTCTACTCAGACTGGCAGCAGCTCTCCCGGGTCCTAGGCAGAGGTCTTTCCCATCTCCTACTACCTGGTCCTTATTAACTGGAGATGCCGGGGATTGAACCTGGGACCTCCTGCATGCCAAGCAGAGGCTCTGCCACTGAGCTACAGCTCCTCTTTACAGCTATCCAGGGTCTCAGACAAGGTCTTTCCCATCACCTCCTGCCTGGTCCTTTTCACTGGAGATGCTGGGGATGGAACCTGGGACCTCCTGCATGCCAAGCAGAGGCTCTGCCACTGAGCTACAGCTCCTCTTTACAGCTATCCAGGGTCTCAGACAAGGTCTTTCCCATCACCTCCTGCCTGGTCCTTTTCACTGGAGATGCTGGGGATGGAACCTGGGACCTCCTGCATGCCAAGCAGAGGCTCTGCCACTGAGCTACAGCTCCTCTTTACAGCTATCCAGGGTCTCAGACAAGGTCTTTCCCATCACCTCCTGCCTGGTCCTTTTCACTGGAGATGCTGGGGATGGAACCTGGGACCTCCTGCATGCCAAGCAGAGGCTCTGCCACTGAGCTACAGCTCCTCTTTACAGCTATCCAGGGTCTCAGACAAGGTCTTTCCCATCACCTCAAGCCTGGTCCTTTTAACTGGACAGGCCGGGGATTGAACCTGGGACCTTCTGCATGCCAAGCAGATGCTCTGTCACAGCCACAGCCCCTCTTTACAGCTCTCCAGGGTCTCAGGCGGAGGTCTTTCACATCACCTCCTGCCTGGTCCTTTTAACTGGACAGGCCAGGGATTGAACCTGGGACCTTCTGCATGCCAAGCAGAGGCTCTGCCACTGAGCCACAGCCCCTCTTTACAGCTCTCCAGGGTCTCAGGCAGAGGTCGTTTGCATCTCCTACTGCCTGGTCCTATTTAACTGGAGATGCCGGGGATTGAACCTGGGGCCTTCTGTATGCCAAGCAGAGGCTCTTCCTCTGAGCCACAGCCCCAACCCCAAGCAATGGCTGTAAGCATTCAGATCCCAAAGGAAGTCCCCCCTCCACGCATTACCTTCACAGTGTCAAAGCCCTTCTCCAGGTAGGAGCCACATTTCTCCCTCTCGCCTGTGGAAGCATAGAACTTGCTCCACCAGTCAATCAGCTCTTCTTCCTGGAGGGAGAGGAAGACATCGTCAACTATTTAAAAAAAAACACACAAAAACCCGGGGGGGGGGGGGGATCAGCTCTACTTGTGCAGTTCCCATTCCATCCAAAGGGGCTGAACGTCCCTGTGGCTTGTGCCCAGGAATGGGACATGCAAGTAATTAGAAACAACAAGATCCTGCTCCTATCAGAAAAGCCAGAAGGCAAGGATTACAGTGGCTTTTGAAAGTGTGGGGTGTTTTTATAAATATTATGTTTTAGAAGAGCAACGACTCCCAACGTCGACAGAAGCCAAGATGAAGAGGCAATTTGTAGCTCATGAAACATTCCTGAAAAATAAATATCTCATTTTAGAATTCCGCAAGATTCCATCACCCTGACCTCACCGAGAACTCATAATCAGCATTTATGGGAGCTGGTCCCAAGCCAGCCGGGCGAGCTCCTCGTCGTTGTCTCAAAAGGGCATTGGCTTTTTTGGTGGTTTTTTAAAAAAATTGAAATATTCCATAAATGTCACTTTTTTATATAGAGACTAAACCTCACCTTTCAGCACTCGCATCGTTCTTTTCGTTTTTGAAAAAGCAACATCCTAACCAAAGAAACGGCCTTACGACATTCCCCAGGTCCGAATTCCCAAGAAGGCGCTGGCAGTCATATAACGACTTACCTCTGTTATCTTCTGCGGCCCCGGGACAAAGGAGAGGGTTAGACAGATGTGACCGAGAAAAACATGTGCTTGAGTAGTGAAACAGCAGGGAAACTCACTGGAATGTTGATGGGACGGGACATTAATTGGCCAGCATCAAAACGCAAGAGCCACGCTAATCAACAGGCCCACAGGAAAGGGGACCACGGGAGGCTTCCACTGCAATGGCCCCTCGGCACCACATGGCAACATTTATGCACCTAATTAGCGCTTCCTTTGCAACCACGGTGTGCCGGGAGCCGGACAGAATGTAGAAGCCACATGGGTCCTGTGCTTGAAGCTCACAGGAGTGGTTGTAAACCTCTGACAGAGATAAGGCGATCTGTTTCTCACAACTAAAACTGGAGGAACACCCAGAAGCATTTTTTAAAAAGAATTATCACTCTCAGAGGAGTCACTGTGTGTTTCTGTACGACCTCCTGTTCCGAAGAAGAGAAGAGATTGGATTTATACCCCACCCTTCACCCGGAGTCTCAGAGCGGCTTACAAATTCCTTTCCCTTCCCCTCCCCACAACAGACACCCTGTGAGGGAGGTGGGGTTGAGAGAGCTCTGACAGGAACTGTCCTTGAGAGAACAGCTCTGACAGAACTATGGCTTGCCCAAGGTCATCCAGCAGCTACGAGTGGAGGAGTGAGGAATCAAACCCGGTTCTCCCAGATTAGAGTCTGCGCACTTAACCACTACACCAAACTGCCTGTGCAAAGACGGAGTGGGGATTCTCCTGTAGAGATGGATAATTCTTGAGTAAGTCATTCAGTAGAGATTGTGCTACAGTTCTCTTAACATAAGAACATAAGAGATGCCAATGTTGGATCAGGCCAAAGGCCCATCCAGTCCAACACTCTGTCACACAGTGGCCAAAAATACCAGGGGCCATCAGGGGGCCAGGACACTAGAAGCCCTCCCCCTGCTACCCCCCCAAGCACCAAGAATACGGAGCATCCCTTGCCCCAGAGCCCCTATCTATACCTTGTGGCTAATAGCCACTGATAGACCTCTGCTCCATATGCTTATCTAATTCCCTCTTGAAGCCGTCCATGCTTGTAGCCGCCACCACTTCCTGTGGCAGTGAATTCCAAGTGTGAATCACTCTTTGGTTGAAGAAGGACTTCCTTTTATCCGTTCTAACCTGACCGCTCAGCAATTTCATGGAGTGCCCACGAGTTCTTGTAATGTGAGAAAGGGAGAAGAGTACCTCTTTCTCTACCTGCTCTTTCCCATGCATAATCTTATAAACTTCAGTCATGTCACCCCTCAGTTGTCGTTTCTCCAAGCAGTTTCTTCCGTCAGCTGTTGACTGAAAGAGGGCGTGCCCAGAACAGGGACTCGTGCAGAGAGGTTTCCTCTGTGTCCGGGCTCTCTGACTGCACAGGAGAAGTGGATACGTTTATTTCCTATGGCTCATTAACAATCCTCTTCCAGCACATGAATATGCCAATGCAGATCTCGAACTCAAAACCAAAGGGCAGCCAGTGAAGGGACCTCCAAAGAGGAGTAAGATGGTCCCAATGGCTAGTACCAGATAATAAACAGGCTGCTGCGTTTTGCAATTTCCGGGTGCTTTTCAAGGGCAGCCCCATGTAGACCACCTTACAGTAATCTAGCCTCAAGGTTGCTGAAGCATGGATCAGCACGGCCGGCTCAGACAGCTGTGAATAGGCAGCCACCTTCCTAACCAGACATAGGCCCCTGTCACACGGGCAGGAAACTGCAGAGGAGAAGTGTGGCTGGTTGCCCCGGGGCAAACTAACATGCAGTAAAGCGATCAGACCTACTGTGGAGGTTCTGTGGAGGTACTGTGGAGGTTCCATGGCAAGGGAGAGGTGCCGATCACAACACACTCCTGCGCGCAATGAAGAAGCGCGCGGCACGGCGAACTGGTTTTCTTTTTTTGTGTACACTACGAATGCGCATGCTCCGTTGGGTGCGTGTGCGCATCCACGGAGACGTGGGGGGGAAAAACCCCTTTTCCGCAAGGGGACATGGGCGGGCGCCGGATACCACCGGAAACGCGATCAGACGCCTGCCCTTGCCCCGCAGTTTCTGGAAACTAGTACCTCCAAGGTACTAGTTTTTTGCTGCGCTTTTTCGGCAGGAAGCCTCAGTTGTGCCACAGAAGCGCTATGCTTCCCAGATGTGCTGGTGAGATCGCGACCGGAAACTCCGCTTGTCTTCCGTATCTCTTGCGTGGCTAATGTTGCGTGTGACCGCAGCCATAGTTGGGCAAAAAGCATTTCCCACTGTCATGGACACCCGTTCCCCCAACAGGAGGCCAGGATGGATCCAACAAGACTCCCCAGAGTCTTTCGGCAAAAACTGGACATCGTTGATGATAGGAAGAAGGATCCCATTTGAAGCAGTGGCCCTTCCAGACGGCATCACCACCATGTTCTCTGGACTGAAATCCAGTTTGTTCTTCCTCAGCCTCACAAGGCACCACATTCAGACATTGGGCCAGGACAGAGACGGCTGCAGCTGGTGGCTTATTCTTAGTAATATACAGCTGGGTGCATACTGTTGGCCACCGACTCCAGATCTTTGGACAATCTCATTCAGGGGCCCTAACGTAGTTATTAATCCACATGGGAGATCACAGAGTCTTATGGCACCTCCCTGCCCTCCCTATCAGCTCCCAAGGGGATGATTCAATATCTCTCCCTGCAGCCTTCTGGGAGTGGCCTGATAGAGAATACGAGAAGGATTTGCTCCGTCCAGACCGACCACGCCCTCGAGCACCTCAGCAGTATCACATAGCCCACCATATCAAAAGCTGACGATAAAGCTAAAAACAACAGAGATGCTTTTCCTTTGTCCATCTGAAGATGAAGATCGTCCACAAGGGCCACTAAAGTCTGACCCAAACCCAGGCCTTGGACTGCCAGCTCTGGCTTGGGAAATTCTGGGAGGTTTGAGTTTGGAGCAGGGGTCATTCCGTAGAAAAAGAGGTGCAGGAGCTCATTAGCATAACTCATTAGCATAACTTATTTGCATATGTCACACCCACGGACATCACGGGAAGTGTGTCAGACGGCAGCACCCACCACTCAGGCTCCACTGGATGGTTTTGGATTGCTAGCTATTGGGGGGGGGGACACAGATCTGCCCTCACAGAGGAGGGAGAGCTTGGACCTGAATAAAACGTGGTCTTAAAGGTGCCACTGGACTGTTTTGGACCCGGGGGGGGAGGGCTCTGCAACTTACCTGGCTGCTTCTTGCTTTGACTGAGGGCTGCTGGGAGCAGGGGGTGGGGCTTCTTGCATGTGCCCGCCCCCCTGGGCTCTTTACTGCCGGAGTTCCGCTCCTGTGCACTCCTGCAGGAAAGGACCCCTGGTTTGGAGCCTGGGGAGGGCAGGGTTTGGGGCGAGGAAGGACCTCAGAGGGTACGATGCTGTGGAGTCCACCTCCAGGGGAACTGATCTCTGTAGTGGTAACCCTGCCCACGATCGAACAAGATCAAGGTCAGGATCAGAAGCTAAGTCATGACAGCTCCCAGGCTCTTGTGCGATTCCCGTCCATGTCAGTGCAGCCTGCAGGGAAAATTCCCGGTGGATCAGGTCCCATGTCAAAGATCATGTTGAAATGAGGATTTTTGCACGGCTTCTGTTCCGTCCATTGCAGGACCGCAGTGGTGCCAGGAATGCTTGCTGCGCTCCACAGAACCGCCCCTCCGCTGCGCAGGTGCCCTCTCGGAGCCTGGTTAAAGGCCCCGCTGTTCATGGGAGGCGACCGCATGAATGCCTGCTTGGGATCCCTGCCCCTGCTGATGAATCCTGGGGCCGGGTGTCGACTGTCAAAGCTCCAGAGGGAGATATCCGATCCCGCCGTCTCTTCCAGCAAAGAGTAACCGGATCGGCCATAAAGTGTGTGCTCCGATTCTAGACTAGCAAACGCAGCAAATAACCAATTACTCCAAATAGTTTACAGATTTCATTTTGCATGTTTTCTGGCTCGGGTTTCCCATGCTAACTTGTCACTCGACGGGTTATTTATCCGGCAAAAGGCTTGGCTGGATGGGAGACAGAAAAGCTTTGGGAACAGACGGCTGCTTGGCTGGCGAAGGGCGTAGATTTCTACCTTCACTACCATGGGGATTTACATCTCCCCCCTTTAGTATCATGGCACTCCTGGGACACAGTAGAGTGGATCCGACCATCCACCCAGGAGTTTTTCTCCAGCCTAGAGTTGCCAGCCTCCAGGTGGGGCCTGGAGATCTCCCAGAATTTCAACTGATCCCCAGATTACAGAGATCAGTTCCCCTGGAGAAAGCGGCTGCTTTGGAGGGTGAACTCTAGAGCAGGG